TTGCTCGAGATTTTACGCGGTTGTGTCTGGGAAATTGTGAGGTACTTTTCCACCGGATTGACGTGTACTTTACCTGCACACGCATGTGCACTGGAATGCCTTCTGTCAGACATCCTGTAGGAGTGCGTGCTGCACGCCGCTACACCGCAACTACTTTTATGCCTGTCTCGAACGGACCGCCGGGTCGCCGAACCGACGCTTCCTGTTGATAAACAGTCGCGTCGTTCATCCGGGAATTAAGAGCTTCTCTCGAAATACGGTGGCGGAGATTTATGTATCGCTACCGTTCTCACCGATTCGCCGGCGCGCGAGTACGTGGTCGCGCTCCCGGATTTATCCCGGCGCTAACTCGACGGCGGCGCCGCCGTCGCCGCCGCCAAGATGACAGCTCGAGACCACGTGCGCGTCCGCGCCGGAGGAATCGTCGGATTTATCGATTCGCCGAAAGTACGGAGGCGCGGGCGATTCAACAGTCCAACGAACATTGAGTCGTGTCTTGCGTTGAGTGTCGCGCTGCTTGATCGTTCAAAGATTCGCGGCTGAGGACCGCGCGGACGATGCGATACGACGGAATTACGACGCTCACGCGAGACAAACGCACGCACACACGCACGCACGCACGCACATATCGTCTGGGTGAGACGTGAATGAATATTTCTGTCGAATAGTTAATAGCTAAAATATAGGTGTTTGCTGAAGATTAAGGCAGACATCAGAAGACACGCTCCATGCTCCTCAAATATTTGCCAAGTGATACAGGCGTTTGAAGAAGGCGGCCGTGCCCAAGTCGCCTGCGACTCTCGACACGCATACCTTCCTCCAGCATCGTCAAATCGACCGCTAATAATAGCCGACAAATTAAGTATTCTCGCGCCTATACCGATCGGCCGTCCTCGAGTCGCAGGCTTTGAGACGACGTGGGAAAGGAAGTTACACCCGGACGAATTAGCGTGCCGATCGAAGACACTTTACTTTGTAGTTATAATCGTCATAATCGTCTTTCGCCCAGCGCCGCTGATTGCTCATTTTCATGGTCGGCGGCTTAATTCGTCGCCCGGAACTCCGACGCGAAGCGATCGATAAATACGGCGGCGGCGGGTGCGGGTCTGGAGCGAGCCGGAGGGACAGGGAGGAGGGAGAGGAGGAGAGAGAGACAGAGAGATGGAGGGGGGAGAGAGAGAGAGAGACGAAGCGGGCGAATCCGAAAAGTAGCCGAGCGGACGCCGGAAGGACCGCAGACGCGGCTTGCGGTTCGCGGTCTGCCCCGCACTTCTCACGGTCGGTTCTGTCTCTCGCTTCGCATGCCATGCCGAGAATCCCTCGACTCGCTCGTGCGCGCGAAACCTCGCCGAATGCGAAGATTCGAGTTAATTCCGCGCGATACGAACGGAGCAGTTTGCAGCAATGCGCGAGGCTGTACGAGGGAACATTGGTAACGAAGAGCAAGGCCGCCGCCGGTCCGTCGCAGTATGAGAGCGCAGTATCGCTGCGAATACGATCGTCCGCGATTTATCTTCCAGACGGCCAACAAATTGCTGTTAAACCCGATATCGCGGCGTTACGTAAGAACGGGGTGCGAGGAGATCAATACGCGAGCGCGTGAGCGAGCGAGAGAGAGAGAGAGAGAGAGAGAGAGAGAGAGAGAGAGAGAGAGAGAAGGGGAAGAGAGAGAGTGACACGGTGGTCCGACGGTCGTCGTCGTGCGTTGCTACGTGCCGCAACATTTTATTTTAAAATAATCTATTTTCAAACGACAGGAAACCTGTACTTTGGAAACTCATATCAAACTCGCCTTGGACGCTGAACTAGTAATTGGTAAATCCATCTGAATAAACACCAAGAATTTTAAGTCCTTAATCAATATCTAACGGCTGTGCACTACTCATTAATCATATTTCCTATTTAGATAAAGATCTATTTCAACTCTTTGCATATGTCTGTGTGACCCTTTAAAGATCGATTTTTCAATAGTATATGAAGAGGATGTTATGATCAAAATTATTGTAGAATTTTGTAAGGAACAGATCGACATTTTCTGCAGTAATTTATTGTCCTTTCATTTCACACGTGCCATTCAGGAACTGACAAATCTGTTATTAAAAATCGTTCCATGTTTGTTAGCAAGATCAATCTTATACCAACAGGTGTAATTTTTCAACTGGATGCATCAAATTCAAAATGCTATTATAGGGTGAAAGTACAGATGTTAATGAATGCCAAACACAAAGTTGTCAAATCAACCAAACATTTTTTACTTACCGACCGATCATGAAAATTTTTTGGACGTTGATTTAATGCAACTGTTTGGCACCAGTGATTCATTACTTTTATTCTATAAAAGCATCTTCAATTTGCATCCAATTAAAAAACAAGAAAAAACTATGAAGTTGCGTTATGACGGTATCCCCAGCGTCGCTTTAAATCCAAGTCTAAACTACTATTGAAAAACCGACTCTCAGCCCCATGAGTGTTAAGTTCCAGTACCTAATTCTCGAGAGAACAACACACCTCTTGCCTAGTACGAAAATAAAGCCGTCGTCATAGAATCCTAAGAATGAAACCTTTTCATTCCTTACATTACATTACAACAGCGCGCGAGTACATCGAGATACGAGGTGCCGGCGCGAAACGCCGGAGAGGAAAATATCGGGAAGGCGAGAGACGTCGGATGCCGAATCGGATATTCAATCGCGAGAGGGTTTCCTCTGCTTCCACCACACCCGTCTCTTTCGACGTTACACGCAAAACGGATACACCGCCGTCTCGCGAAACGGCTACGCTCCTGGGGAGCAGAGCGCGACCTCCATGCAGAGAGAAAGAGAGAGAGAAAGAGCGCCTACCTACCACCCTCGAGGCTCGCCCGCGCGTGCTATATAGCGCGAAAGAAAAGTAGGTCGTATCCGAGGGTTACCTGCTCGGCGGCAGCCTCGAGAGCGATCAAAGCCGACGCGTTCGCGCACCCGCCGCCGGCCTGCCGTAGGCCCGCCGCCGGGTTGTCGATCCGAAGGGCGGGTGGTGGCTGCTGCTGGATGTTCGACTCGCCCGTGGAGGACGCGCGTCGTTGGGTCAGGGTCGCCGCGAGCGAGCGGGGAAAGTCAATAGGGAAATCGGGCTGCCGGCGCGCGCGGGTAGTCGATATATCGGCCAACGGTGAGGCGCAGCGCGCCACTTCCACGGCAGATAACGACGGGGGTGAGTCCGTTATAGAATATTTCACCTTGCCCGGGCTCCGGGATCCTCCAGGTGTCGCGACGGCAGAGAGAGACGGCAGAGAGATAGACGGGGAAAAGCTCCCCTCCCAAGACTTCGGCGAGCTTTCGAGGTTCTCGAATGGCCTGGTCGGACGGTTCGAACTGTTCGAATAACACCCCCGGGAGACCGCGGAGATCCGAGCGATTTGAGACTCGACCTCGAAATCCGAACCGTTCGGGAATCGTACGACCGCCTGCAAAATTCCGCGCGCTACTCCCGAGACTCGCGCGCGGCGCTCCGTCGCCTCGAATCTCCCTTACCTTCGACTTACACGCTCCCGGCAGTCACGGGGATTAACGTCGACACGCGGGGTTTACATTCGATCGGACGGGAGATGTGAAATATATCGTCGGCTCTTTCTAACCGGCGACGTACACGTTCTCGCGCAAATATTTATGCGATACCGGAATTGTGACGTCGCAAGCGCGCTTACGATAGATCTGCGGATTTCCTTTCTCGATAGCGCCGGCGACAGAGTGCGATTTTATCCTCTCTCTCTTTCATTTTCATCGAACATCAGGAATACGCTTCTCGATCCGCCGTAACGTTTCCGCGATCTTGCGACGTAAAAACCGGGGAAAGTGCCGTTTCGACGCGGCACTCGATTTTTCAATGCGCGAATACACGTCGTCGCCCAGCCGTGGTGCTTTCGTCGCGGACCAACGTCGCCACCGTGGAGACGTCGGCACCCGCTTTCGGCGCCGGTATGTGCCGCGATCGTGACGTCACCACATGACGAAGTTCGCGTAGTTATGTGGCGGTTAGCACGTGCGCGTAGCCGCGAGCCATTGGCGTAGTTGCTCGTCGTTCAGGCCGCGAGATCTCGAGAGCCCAGGGAGCGATCAACTGCTCGCAACTATGCATCAGTAGACGTCCGACATCACGTTTTTCTTCGATGATAAGTAATATTAATTAACGTGCATTCCCTTGTGACTTGCTATAATTTAAACGACGAAACCTAAATGGCACTAAATGGCGCTTCTAGTTATACTTTGCACATAGTATCCTTCATCAATGTACTATACATTGTACATACATATGTACATACGTACGTCAACAGCACATTTTTCCGTGTTGTATAGAATATCTTTAAATTTTATACTAATTCTACTACTCACAATTTATATTCAATACTTTTTACAGCACTTGAGGAGATTTAGCGCGTAATAAATCAAATTTTTCTCACTCTCTTGTTTTGCACTTCAAACGTACTTTGAATTCTAACACATCGTTGACCGATTACGAAGGAACTGGCGTGTGAAGCATTAATCAATGAAAATTTTCTTCGACTGTAATGATCGGCGAAGCAGTCGTCGCAATTAATCACTCGTCAAATATATATAATAAATCACAAATAATCCCGCCAATCTCAGTGTACAATCGATCACATCAAAGCTGAATTATTAATTAACAATTAATTTCATCAGTCGATTGAATGATTTGCGACTTCACGTATGACGATTGACGATTTTCATGATTAATTCGCCGATTATTAGTGTCGCGCAACATTTTCATCGGAAATACTCAACGCTCGGTGGGGAAGCTCGCGAGTGCAACATCGTCGGCCGGTAAGCGTGGGTTATCGCGAGATGACGGTACAAAACAAGGCCGGTGCGGAACAAGGGTTGGACAATGCTGACAGGCGGCAGTGGTCAAGAACGCGTGGAGAGTGATATCGCGCGTGCATTCCCCATCGCCTCGACCTTTCTGAGATGACCCGAGGGATCACGAGGTTCGCGCGACGCACGGCACTCTGCGGTCGCGACGTCTCTCGCACCGACCGATCTCTCGTCAGCCGTCCGCATCGGCGGGCGGTGATTCACGCGCACGTCTAGACGAAGTTGTTTCCCGGAAAAGGTAATAGACACGTGCGGTTTGCTCGCGTATCACGCAATCGAGTCGAAGGCCTCGCGCCTCAACGAGCGCGCGCGCTCTATCGCGAGACGTTACGTCAACGTGAGCGCTCGCTCGCTCGCTCGCTCGTTTCGTAACGTCATCGCCGCCATGCACGCACGTGCACACAATTCCGTGAGCCGCGCGGATTCTCTCTCTCCTGTGACATATGGTCGCCGTTCGCGGATCTCTCCAGACGTTCCACCGAGGTGTCGATAACCCGCGACGACCGCCGGAGGCTGGGAAGTAGTAACTGGTATGTGTGTGTGTGTGTATGTATGTTGCACAAAAGCTTAACTTCGCACGCTCAGACAGCATTATTTTATGCACGCTTCAGACTGTCTGACCTCGTTTCCACTATGTCTATCTGGCGACCCATATATCACTATATGGCGGCCTATCCGCGATTTCACCTTTCTCGGCCAAAAATTTAACACCGACCGGGGGTTCATTAACGGGAAACGCTTCTCTTGGATGCGTATCTTAATGCGCGCACACTAGTCGAATTATTATACAGGTCATTTCGTGTATTTTTCAAAGGATCTCGTCGCGCCATGAATGGTGCTAAAAATCAATTCTTTCGTCTACGGTATCTTTCCAGATGGTAGAGGCATCGTATTTTTGGAAAACCGCCTGAAAAGGAACTCGACGTCACATGAGTATCGCGCTCTCGAATGAACGAACGAGTCAAAACAACTCTGTCGACCCAATTTCCAACGTGTGTACATTCCGATCTAGAACCCTTTACCAGGACAATGTGCCCCTAAAGATAGACTTTCATGATTATCACGACGTGAGACAATCGACGATGAAAACAGTGCAATTTTTTAAATTATGCTTATGAGGCAAGTACTGTACGGAATTAATCGTTGGATCATTACAATAACGTAAACGTTTTGTTAGATTAATGCAGCTATAAATTTGCTACAAACTTACAGTGAGACTTTCACACTACCTTTTGTATTACATATTGATTTGAGCAAATACCTATCGCGTTCTTTTCGTATCTTCTTCGTAATTCGATTTCGTCATTTTATGTGATATGAGTACCACATGAACAACTCATAAGAAACGTAGTTTTTATAAATCGATTAATAAAGTTGCTGACAAATTTACATACATTTGGGAATATTCCCAGTAGACAAACTGACGTGCATAAACTTTACAGCAGCTTTAGGTATATTAAATCAGCAACTTTGAGTCAGATTGCACTCATATTTATCACATAGAATGACGAAATAGAAATATGAAGAAAATAATTAAAGTCTACCCCTAAATAATATGTCGTATCAGTGATAATCATGAAAGTCTATTGACGTGTTTACACGCACACGTTGGGTCTCGCGATCGCGGATTTTCGCCATCGGCCGGCCCACGCCGGAATTCGCGATGTTCGTGCAGCCTGCACGCTGTTTGCCTACTTGTCCCCCCATTTGTTTTTCCCCCGCCGCTGCTGGTAGGCGCGTTGTTCCCGTTTTTACGTCGAGCTCGCGTTCCCGTTTTTTCAGCCGACGCGCGACGCGACACGTCGCCTCGTGGTGCGTCGATCGGGAGCGCGGGCGGCGGCGACTGTCATATCTTGCCGATTTGGCAGCGGCGCCAATGCGCCGTACTTGGACGTCGCCCAAACGTAATAAATTGCAAATCAGGTCATTGCTTCCCTGCGTGCGCGCGCGCGCGCGAGCTCGACGCGCGAGAACCGGCCACGGGGAAGCCCGGGTGTCGTTGTTCGCGACGCTCGTGATTTGCGGGCTTTACACAATCCTCCCCCGCGAACAACCCTCCGCCGCAACACGGAGTGAACGCACCGTCGCGTCGCGTCGCGTCGCGCCGCAGTGGTTTTAGGGTGCATCTCCGCGTTGCCCCGCGACGCCACCGGCGACGCGACAGTGGATAAACAACACTATCCGATATCGCCGTATACGGCTCCGACACGCCGGCATTTTCCACGGCGCGACCGCACCTCGTGTCGTCGCGCGCCGACACGAGCCGACCCGCAGAACGCAATTCTCGCCCCGAGCTGCAACCTCGCACCCTCGTCGTCGATCGAGGAGTCCGCGCTATTGTAAGGGGCGACTCGACGTTGTCCTTTTTTGCTTTTTTTGCAAGTCGCTTTGAAGTAGATCCGAGCGAGATCCGGGATGCAATCGACTAAACGCTTCGTAGCCTTCGAGGCGTTTTTTTCTATACACGGGATTAATGACGTCATTACATAGGATGCTAGGATGCTGTGAAGCAGTCTAATGGATCTTACTCTGGGATATGCAGCTATTACGGGAGCACTCGGTGATTCAGATTGAAAACGCGGGTTATCGTCTAGTCGGAAGCTATTATCATTATCTATGGAACTGGTCGTCATCTCGATGAAACCTTGTCAAAATCAGATTCGATCGAGTATTTATATATTTTCGGACTGTCGTATATTTTTTTCGTTATTGAACTCTTTCGAGACTGAACTTTCGTTATTACACGGCGAAATCAATGATATTCTCTTGTAAAATAGAATCTCTGTATGTTCCCTATTAACTCCTAAACCTTTTGACTGATTGGAACCAAGTTGGTCTCTCTAGAAACTCTGCTGAAAATATAGACTATCATGAAACCTGCACATACATCTCACATCCTCGCTCTAATTTCATTTCTCTGACACTTTGTGATAACCCGCGCAACGTCCGGTACTTTAAGCTATTCTCTAATTATGAAATGGAATCTTTCGTGGTCGCGTTTCGAACGAGGAATCGACTCTCCGCTTGCTCGTAAGGTATCGGAAACTTCCCGACCGTTGAGAACATTCACGACAGGACAACGAACGAGAGAGGAAGTTTCAATCAGAGACCTTTCCGAACAGTTTCACAATAGCTCCTCCGTGCTGATGCCGCGAGAGTGCAATGAGAAGAGCGCGAATACGAGAAAAACAATGGCAGTCTGCGCGCACAAGTAATCGGAAACTACCTCGCTACACACAACGCTAGACATAATATTTACTCCTGCTCCGAGAGAGGGACTGACCTCTCCCCTCCCCCTTTACGGTCGGCTTTGCCGCCATCTTCGCCGGGAAGGTCGGGTGGAAGGTCAAAATGCACGCACACACGCAGATGACAAGGAGAGTTGGAATTCTCTTCCCAACGGTAAACACCGTTGGGAAGTATAAAAGTGCGAAAGGTAAGATAAAAGTACCAATGCCTGGACACTAATAGCGCTGGTACCTAACTTTGGACATTCTTATTGTTTTGATTCTTAAATACAGATATTTTTGCGAATCTTCTATGTATACTGAGAGAAGAAAATGGTTGACCTAATTAAAATTATATTTACTTTTTCCTTCAAACCGTGCTCTTTGATTGTTCTAACACGAAAATGGTAGTGGTAACGTGTATATAAGTTTATTACTGTTAACAATATAGTATAATTTAATTTAAGAGATATGGTTTCTTTGACTGTAGTTTCTCTACTCTCTTAAAGTGAATCAATGAAACACCATTAAAAGCAATGAATATACACTGATTTGCAGTTATAAGTATAGCACTGGAACTGCTCAGTGCTATAATTATAACTGATTATATCAATGACTATTCACTGATTCACTTTAAAAGAGTACGTACGTAGTTATAAACATTTCTTTCTCAGAGCAGAATGCATGTATTGTATTTAAAATATGTATGTATAATATATATTCTATATTGAAAGTTTTTAAATATTTGTATTTAAATATTAAAACAAGAATGTGTCCAGAATAAGATACGGATATTATTAGTGTCCAGGCATTGATTGATACTTTTACCTTAATTCGTTCATTGCCAATTAACGTGTATTCCACATAACCCAGAGTAAATATGCATATCGAGTCCGCGAGTCGATTAATACGCGATTGACTCTCGGAATTTCACGTCGCGAGGGTAGCGCTCGGAGGAAATTTTCGACGTTCGCGTTGCAGTCGCGTAATTCCGAAGTCGCGATGTCCCGCGGTGCATCTGTATGCACACGGATTGCTGCGCTGCGGAGGGGCGGAAGACGGCACGGCACGGCACGGGGGGAGCGCGCACTCGTGTGTGTCGTGCAATCTGCCGCGGATTGGGGGTGAGATAAGGACACGACCGGGAAGATTCACGAGGACGGAGGAACCGTCGGCCTTCGCCAAGGAGCAGAGAGCAACGACGACGGCGCCGTCTTCGTCGCAGTCGTCGTCGACGACGTCGTCGGCGTTGGCGCGCGGTAGAATGGGCGCGCGGGCGGGTGGCCGTAATCTAATTTGCGATGCAATCTAGAATAACAATGGTTCGCGTCGCGGCGGAAAGGGGCAGGCGTGACGGCGGTACGAAACGCGCGCAGCGCGTCGCCAGGAACTTTCCGCCACCGCCGCTGCCGTCGACTACTCGACGTAATCACGGCGCGGCACCGGTAACTTCCAAATTAAGTTCCCGCCGATGCCGATGGAAACCGAAGCGCGATGGACCCACCGCCGTCGTTCTTCGTACCCTCAGGGCTTCGCCGAGGAAGCTCCCGATCGATGCCGGTGTCTCTCGTTTCCGGAGGCGATACGCGCGTACCGGTGCATTGTCGCTTAGGCGGATTGAGACTTGACTTCGGGGACATGTTATGCAAAGCAAATTGTCCGTATATACTCGTGAAATTGAAAAACTCATTCCATCCCACGAAATCTTTGCGATACTAAATCACATAAAGTTAAAGTATTTTTATCGTTCTTTTCGATGCGAACGAGACTGAATGGACGTTTGTCAAAAACATTTGAATCAAAATTTTAGAGCTGCATTGATATTACAAATTTCGCAAATTTTTTTAAGAATCAATATGGAGAATCTCGAGATTAAGTATTATACAGGTTATTGTTCTGCTTTCACGCTATTTATATATATATATATATATATATATATATATATATTTATTTGTTGCCAGTTTCTCCATTTAAAGGATATTTGACACACGCACACACACATTAAATTATTTCAATGTTCTATCAACATTCAATCTCTTTTCCTAATTTCAGTAAACAATGTATTATGTAACTTACTCAACAGCAGATATAGGGTGCGACGTTAAGCAAATATTAAATAATTAATATTTCTCAAAACAATAATATTTTTCCAACAGAGATATTCCTTTAATCTTGGCGTGATCGTCAAACGTCCATTAAAAAGAAAAACATTCTCTGCGTGATAAATAATTCGACACACCTGGAAATATACGATGTATCGCCGCCCGCGTCCCGGCGTCCTGCGTCCTCCTCCGTCCTGGCTTTCCGATCCGGCATCCTGGCTTCTCCGTGGCTCCGAACACTCACTGGACACTCGCGACACATTTCGATCGAAGAAACGCGCGTTGATTAAGGCGAGCCGCCGACGAGAGAGCCTGATAAAACGTTTCAGTAGCCGACGAGAAGTTTGATCACACGACATGAGAGGTAAACAACGCACCGCGCCGCGGTGTGTGTACATCGCTCGTCGGCTCGAGACGTAATGACGCGCGAAATGACGGAAAAGTACGCGAGGCGCGACAGTACCAAAACAATCGACAAGAAAGGCAAAGTCACCTCCCACCAAGTCGCCGGGCGTCATTGCCCGCCAGTCAATGACGAGTACACATTGGGCGGCCGAGAAATCACGACAATCCATCAAAACATTGCAGACACCTTGCGAGAGAGGTGGTCTAATTACCTGATCACCCGCACGGTTTCTCCGATTCGCTTGTACATCATTGCGCGGTGCTATCGAGCGTTCGTAGCCACGATGACAACCAGGAGCTGATTGCGGGACGGAAAACAGGACGCAGGATGCGCAAGCGACAGTCGCTGACAAGGCTCGCGCAACTACTTTTTTTATCTTTCTTTAATCTTGTCGAAATTCCAAACGCGCCAACACAAGATAATGATAAAGAGATCATGAGAGAAGAACGTTTGTCGCTTTATTTCTCCACTTGCTCGTCAATTTCAATTTTTATTGAATTATTGAATATCTAATTATCGCGATAATCCATCTGCAGCGGAGTAAATTGTACAATTGATACGTTGCTCGTAGAAATTCAGAAAGATCGAATGCAGATGGGCCATTGAGACAATTGAATATTGAGCATGTAATTCCGAAGTAAATGCTTCTCTAATTCGCAGAAAACGTCGTTAAATAACCGTTAGTACCATCAAAACACAATAGCCTGTACAATGTTGTACATCAAGACTATCCGATGACACCTCGAGTTTGACAGAATCTGCGGGGTTAACGCAGAACCGAGATTTCGACCCGGCTATGCGTTCTCGAAACGTTTCGCACGTCGGGTTGTCCCGGAGCAATTTTCAAAACGAGAAGGCACTTTGTCAGTGCGCGGAGTGCTTGTTGGGCGAACTACAGCGGAACCATGGCAATATCGATCACGGTTGCAGGTGAAGTTTTGTGAATCACGCTGCTTGTGTCCTAGATTCGCTCCTGCCGCGCTACTCGCGCTATCTCGCACGTTATCGCGCGCGCTTGGAATAATTGAAGACCGAGATGGGGAAGGGTGGTCCGAGAGGGCGCGAAAAAGTGGAGGGAACAAGGAGTTATGCGCGGTCTGCTTTCCCGGGCTGAATGTTTCCAAACAAGCGGACGAGAGAGAGAGAAAGAGAGAGAAAAGGAAAAACACGTGGCAGATAGACGCAGCTGCGCGACCAACCGGCCGAGATTAGATATCGGAAGCTTTTTCCTAGGCAGCCTTCGACGTTCCGCGAATCGCGTAATAATCTCGCCGAAGGTCGACAACGTTGCACGATAACCACCTCCGCTGGATAGGAAATCGCACTTCCTTTCGCCCCTTACCTCCCCCTCGGCATCCGACCTCCTCCCTCGCTTGCAAATCGTCGCTTACTGTATTCGTGATAGTCGACGACGACGACGGCGCATCCGTCTGAGAAAAGCGCGCTGACGATAGCGCGTGGTACTCCTTTTGAACTCGTGACGCATAATATCAAGAAAGAATGTAATAAGAGCGGCGGAAGATCGCGAGACGCGCGAGAGAGGACGCGGGTCAGAATGCGACGAGATCGAGAATCGCTCCGAGGAACGCGACGTCTACGCTCGTCGACACTTTCTTTGAGTCGTTATTCGTAAAAGAAGAGAGACGTTCGACCGACCGACGCGCTCTCTCTTTCTCTCTCCCCCCCCCCCCC